GTGTTTCTGACGTCACAAACCACCTTGTGACCAATCAGATCAACGTGTGATCGTCAACCAGTGGATCTCTGAGAGAGTGAGTGGAGGCGGGGCTCATTTGCATATTCATAGAACCGCAAATACTAAATGAGGTGAGGCTGTCGAGTTACATTCAAGATATTTTAAGACATGAAGAATATTTTTTCAAGGAAAAAACTTTTAAATGAGTAATTTTGATTATCAAAGATGAGTTTTAAGGGATAACAGTATTGACTAGGGGGACTTTAAAGATGTTGTGAGCTTTTTTTTAAATGCATTTTTTTAGTTATTTTTTGCATAGTAAAATAAAACCTGTAGCTGTAGTTTGGTATGAGTAAATATTATTTCATTTTCGAATTAAGTAATGTTTCAATGTTGAATTAGGTTTGTTTTCTGTCAGCTGAAAGACCTTTAGTTTTTTCATCATTTTAAAAGGCACCATTCAAGTGAACAATATTTAGGTCGTTTTTAGTACTTTTGATTTCTGGGAACAAAAAAAGCATTGAAATAAAATCGCTGTGAATGAAAGGAGACATATGCCATGGGGAAAAGGACACACACACAAACACACACACACACACATGAACTCACTCACCTCCTCATTCTACCTCTACGATTTCTCCCGAGAGGCTTCGTGGTTGAACAAGTGAGAGTAAAAATAGCTTGAGATGAACAGTCATGCCATCGGTGGTGGCGTCTCCTCTGACCACAAAGCACACGGCCAACGAACGGACAGATTTATTTGGAAATTAAGCATTTTAAGCAAAGACTGCTTTAAATATCATCATTCTCATCCCATGACCGCAAATAAGATTACAGACAAGATAATCTTAAAAGCAACTAAGTAGGCTTTAAATGATAAAATACAAGATGGAAAGCAGAAATCTGCTCTATTATTGATTGCAAGAAGTGATAATATGATATTTGACTATTTTAATGTCCCCCTGTGGTGAAAATCAATCTTTTCATGTTGTTTATATGTATATGTGGTGTTTTTAATATGCTTTAAGACAAAGCATGTGTAAATTTATAAGTGGACAACATTGCTGAGTATTTCTCCTTAAAACTGCAGTGAACCAAAGACAGTCTCAAAAACACGCTTTGAAATCGCTGGTGTTTCTGACAGGTCACAAACCACCTTGTAACCAATCAGATCAACGTGTGATCGTCAACCAGTGGATCTCTGAGTGAGTGAGTGGAGGCGGGGATCATTTGCATATTCATAGAACTACGAATACTAAATGAGGCAAGGGTGTCGAGTTACATTCAAGGAAAACACTTTTAAATATGTGATTTTGGTGACCAAAGATTAGTTTTAAGGGATAACATGTTAAACATTATTGACAACAGGGGGACTTTAAGATTGTCCTAAAATACCCATACCTAATATATACCCATACCCATATATTAACTCTATTTATTTATGTGTGTGTGTAATATATATATACACACACACACAGTATAAATTGTTCGTGAATTAAATTAACTCTGTATACTGGAGGTTGTGCAATTAGAGCCGGTTCAGAGGTGTCAAGTGATCACAGAGTGATCTTAATAATAAATTAACTACGTGGGAACACTTCCCATTAGATTTCTTCTCAGAAACCAGTCATTAGTTTATTGCAACATCTCCATAACGAGCATGAGGTGAAGAGAGTCTTGTTTCTTGACACACTCCTTGTCAACCCTCTACAGTGAAAGCAATGGACGAGACACAACACTACTAAAATCATGCACTTGGCAGTGTACACAGATCTATTGATTATGAAGGATGCATTTTAGCAGAAGCCAAAGTTTAGCCTTTCAGCTTCAACAAGTTAGATTTCATGAAGTAATTATCAGAAAAGTTCAGTCTGTATTAAATTGACTGGCATTCTTTAAACGCAAAATGAAGCTGCCCAGATCTATAATGCTAAATGAGCTATTCTCACGGCACTGAATGAGACGCATGATTCATAGATGCGGCGGCGCTTCCTGGAACAAAAGCATTCAGCCCAGCTGTTCCTGTCCTCTACGTCTGTTTCGTATAATAGAGGAACAACAGGGGCTATAAACACCCTTGAGAATGTTTTAGCACATTTACTCTGCACTAAACTCATGTCCTACATACTGAATGTGTTTTGTGAAATAATGTAAATCAGTCCCTCCAGGATTTCACCCCTTTAAGAGCTGCGCGCTCCCTGTTGAACTCTCTGCAGTGTTATATGTGCGCCTCGAACACCCCATGTGTGCGGGTAATTTTGATGCTACTACTTTTATCTTATGTTGTTTATTAAGTAACGATGTGACGGTAGAACGTGTGACAGACAGTACGAGTTCGATTTGTGAGATGTCAATCGCCTCCGTGAGTCTGTCTGGCGTCGCGTAATTGCGTCACTTCATAACGTTCCCATGGAAACAGGGGGAAATGGCTGCTCTTGTGTGAAGCAAACGCAACATTTTCAACTTTCTGCTAAGATACATGTGACTTTTTTTGCAACGAAAAATGCGAGGATTAAGAAATTACGCAAACCCCGCATATTTTGCACGGAAATCGGCAATTTATGCGGCGAAAGTGCGGCCCCCGCATAAATATGCGGACTGATTCTGCATTGAATTCAGCGATCGCATAATCGCGTTTTTCTGGAGGGACTGTTTTAAGTTGATTTTTTAGTAAAATAACACCTTGTTCTTTCAAAATGATATGTTCTCATTAATGTGTAATCACTTCAACCAACTAATTAAGCATTCTCGTAAGTGTACAATCTGCCATTTAGAATACATACGTGTGAGTCGCTCGAATGGCGGAAGCCATGTTGAAAATACATTAGACAAAAAGTTCCATATTAAAAAAATGTCGATACAATGTAAAGTGTTTTCTCTGGCTCTTGTTTTAAAATATTTTGTTCTGTTATTATGCTTGTTGTTGTCGTCTGTTGACGTACAAGCAGAATGTGGCGATTGGTCGGTGTGGTTTTAGCCCCGCCCCTTCACCGTGATTGGACGGCTGGGTAAAAAGTTTTATCCAAAGCTGAACATTCTTTAGCTTTCAGCTACCCGTAAAAAACACTTTTGTAATGCCATAGATCTCCCAGAAATCATTATGTCAGAGTACCACAAGAGAAACAGTTCCAACAACACAAACCACAGCTAAAAGGATATTAACAAACAATATATCTGAGCATTAAATGAGCAGATAATAAAAGCTGTGCTTGTGTAAAAAATTGTGATTCATCATAAAATCAATGACTATGGATTGCAGGTTGATGCAAAACTCTCTGAATGTGCGATCAATCAGCGTTTGCTCTCCACACATGACGTTAAAGTAATGACGTTAACAACCACCTCTTCCAATCAATGACGTGAATCAGTTCGGAAAACACATGCACAATTTTAAACATTTGCTTTAGGCTAGTTTCCATGCAGCTTGTGTATTATAGATAAAATGGTCCGGTATCTGTATTAAATCTGTATTGAAGATTTAATAAGGACAAAATAAAGGCAACATACTAAGCAGAATTATATCTGGTGTCAGACGTCAGTGAAAAAAGCAGCGTCACTGAACGCGGAACCGGAAGACAACATAGTGCTGAATAAACTGGTAGTTTTTGTTATTTTTGGACCAAAATGTATTTTCGATGCTTCAAAACATTGTAACTAACCCACTCATGTCACATGACTACTTTGATGATGTCTTTATTACCTTTCTGGACAAGGACAGTATACCGTACACACATGTTCAATGGAGGGACAGAAAGCTCTCGGACTAAATCTAAAATATCTTAAACTGTGTTCTGAAGATGAACGGAGGTCTGATGGGCTTGGAACGACACGAGGGAGAGTTATTAATGACATCAGTTTTATTTTTGGGTGAACTAACCCTTTAAGTCCTGGTACATGTAGCGTTCACTCTGTAATTTTTAACACCGAACCTGAAGCTTTATTTTAATGACGAATACTTTGCGACGGAACTTACCGAACATCCAAAACAATGCTGTGTGTTGGAGTAAATGCGCTCGCTGTATGTGCACAGCCAACATATGATGGCATTTTATGATGGATGAGACATATGATGATGACATATGATGGATCAGATGAGAACTAATGAAGAGCTTATAAACTGTATAAAGGAGTCAAAACAGCGACAGGAGTCCGTCCGTTGACACACACGAAGAACTGTAATGGCCATCGTAGCTCCTATGACGAGATAAACAGGTTTTCTGGAGGATTCTGTTCTTTGTAGGGTCACATCTTGTGACATCACTTCCTGTTAGTGGTTCGTTTAGATGTCTTTGGTTAATATTTCAGTCAAACCGCATCAGAGTTAGTTTGGAAAGGTGGGTCTCGGACTCTCGGTCCGCTTGATCGCACCAGGGTTCGGTTCGCACTTATTCAAATCGCACGTAAAGCTGGGCAATGATTAATCACATCCAAAATAAAAGTTTGTGTTTACTTAATAATATGAGTCTATAATACACACACATGCATATATACATATATTTCAGAAAAAAAAAATATTTATATACAATATAAATTATGTATAAATATATATATATATACAGTATATACATATTTTTTTAAATATACATACATATGTGTATTTATATATACAAAGTTATCATACACAGTACACAAATATATATTATGTAAACACAACTTTTATTTTGGATGCGATTAATCACTGCACAGCGCTAGTTTTAATCAAACCAACCAAGCATGCCAAAAGTACATTAGATAGTGAGTATCTTGTCATAGGTTAGTTTACCAATAATCATATTAAATATTTTCTGGAGCATCATTTCAAAACAGTCATTCATGCAACTAAAAGCTAGTGTATTTACTTTTTAAGGAGAAGTGTGTATATCGAACAACATGTTGGTGGATTGCAACACACCAGTAGGGAAGCACAGACCCGAGGCAAGCCAGGCATCAATTTAACCGGCCTGGTTTCAAACGACACGGCTAGACTAATGAAACCTGCGGTCTAAAGTAGGCCAACTCACCCATATCTGCAGTTTGATTCTCTTGTCGTTCTTGTAGACGGTTTTGACTTTGAAATCGATGCCCACCGTACTCACAAACGCTGACGTGAAGGAGTCGTCAGCGTACCGGAAGAGAAACGACGTTTTTCCCACGCTGCTGTTGCCGATGATCAGCAGTTTGAACATGTAATCGAAGTTCTGGTCAGATCCTTCTTTCTGTGCCGCAGCCATCTGAAACGAGACAACACGCTTTCAACAAACATGCAGCAATACACACGTCAAACGTGCACGCGTTAATCTTCAAAATGCATTTATTATTATTCATGTTTTATTGTTGTAGTCTAATGAATGTTGCTGTGGTAAAATCAGAATGCATACAAGAAGTCATAAAACATTAGACATCAGTTTATTAATATAGCTCTATTTTACAATGGTTAGAGGATACAAATAATTTAAAAAAATAAATAAATAAGGGACAGATTTTGAAACTTATAGAAATATTTATTAACAATAAAATGTGGACTACCACAATACCACAACAATATTCATTAGACTATAACAATATAAACATGAATAATAATAATAATATGCAGTAAGTATTTTTGTTTATTTGCAATCTAAAATTAAAAGTTTATCTTAAAACGCATTTTTCAGGTAAATAAATGGATGAACAGTACCTGAACAGTACATTAAATAAGCAAGTTAGTTTCCCTGTGAACATTTTAGTGTTTAGAAATATTCTTGAAAATGTATCGGTAGATCCGATATTTATTTTCCCCCCCATTTTATAATATAGGTCTAAGAGGAATATTATAAAAGACAGATTTGATGTATGGTTTAGAATCAGTAAAGAGGAAACTGGCTTTGAAAAGTATAGGCCTAGTGAGATTATTTCTCTAAATTATACATGCAAAGCAAACTGACACTAAATACAGTAAAACATAATAAATGTCAATGTTATAAGTTGTCATTTATCAAATTTGGAGCTTGTCATTGGTCAAAAGAACCCTGGAAAGCCATCCATATAAAACCAATCCTCAAACACCATCTAAAAAATAAATAGTCAAACTGACAATCATTTAATTATGATAATGAAGATGTACAGAGAGGAAGAGCTATAAAACGCTTTAGTACAGGAATATTCCCCCAACCCCCACATTACAGAAGGGTAGGGTGTGTTTCCATCAATAACCATATCTATTTTATTCACCCTTATGCTCATAACGACTGATTAAATCATATTTAGAATAAGGCTAATACATTACAACAATCAATTGCGACATATTTCGCCTTAACGTCATTTATACAATTCGGAAATGATCAGCAGGACTGTAATTATAATGAAGTAACTTAATATTTTGAAGCCACGAATGACAATTAAAGCTTATAAACGCAAGCACAAACCTGCATGGATCCGTCCTGACGCATCCTACCGAAGATTTGGCACGATAATTCAGTCGGTTCCCGGTGATGCTCGAATCACTCCGTGTCCTCTGAGCATCAGCATCAGCTGCCAGAGAGAGAACGCGCGCGCTGACTCTCTGCTGTGCGCGCTCCCGGCCGGTCCAACGGCACTTAACCGCGCTCGCTGCTGGGAGTTGGAGTTTTCTCCAGAGAATAGTTTGTAGTCCTTAAACCCGGAAGAGACTAGATGGATTGATTATCCTCTCTTTTTTAGTCTCTCTCACGTTTTCTAATGTGTTTCGGTGTATTAGTAAAAGTCATATCCGTTTATAGCAGCAATTTATTTATTTGCCCTCCACAAAATTTTCTAAATATGAATATAACATCAAACCTTCGGACCAGGCTTGACTCTTTCCAAAACGTTTGAATCAAACATTTTAATTCGTGTATAAATCAACAATTATTTATATACTATAACTTATTTATATAGAACAAATTAAATCATATTTAACGTGAGTGTTAGGAAATAAAATATTTGGGGGAAACCGCATTATTTGACAAAATAATTAAGTCCACACGAAGGTTTTTATGTTTCCTACATTAATAATAATATCATCCCGCTGGATGGAAAATAAATCTGCGTTTCAGTTTAGTAGGTTTGTATTTAATTTTTTAGTATAAAAATGATAGGGTAGGCTATAAGTTAATTTTAATTACACATTTACACTTAGGCCAATATAACAGGTTTGTATGCCAAATCTCCATATGAAGAAATATTTACCAGAGATTTGCAGAAGTCTGTAAGATGCAAAATCGAAATCTCATTGGCTTGGTTCCTGACAATCATTTTATGTCGGAAGCCCGGTAACCCCCAGTAGGAAGACAGGCCTACTCGTATTTCGAAGATTTAAACAAACTTTTAAGATAAAATGGCGCAGTGGCTTTCAGAATCGTAGCGATTAAAACTGAGGCGTGTATAACGCTGACAGTTGTTGTTGTCAAAGTTTGTTTTCATCTTCACACCATTTATAGGCGTTTAAAACGCATAGATTGGTTCGTTTACCCTGTCGAACACATGTCAGTTTGGTTGGTTCAGTCATTTGACGCTTCAGAGAGTCAGACGTGCACGAGCCTCGGAGTGTTGCAGCAGCGCGACCTCTACCGGCCGCTGGTTTAAGTGTTAAATATCATCCCAATAATTACACTCAAATGGTGTTGTATTTGTATTATGTACTTTTATAGTATTTATTAATATTATAAATTAGCTTTTATTTTTATATTTTTATTTTTGGAGTTTTTTTTAATTGTATTTGCTGTAGCTTTAGTAATTTTAATCAGCTACTTTAGTTTAAAATTATATTATTTCAGACTAGTTGAAATATTTCTCATTTTATATATTTTTTAATGTTTTTCATTATATTTAATTGTATAAGCTTTATATTTAAGCTTTATTTCGATTAACAAAAACATTTTTTAAATTGTTTTAGTTTTGATTATAATTAGCCTAAAAATAAATGCAATGATATAATTTAAAATATTCTGCAATTTTATATACATCTTAATTGCTGTAATTATATATTATATTATATTATATTATATTATATTATATTATATTATATTATATTATATTATATTATATTATATAGATTGGCCATTCTTCATTATTTTTTTATTTTTTGCTATTGTATTTAATTGTATTGCACACATCAAGACGTACATAAAGTTGCCGAAATTAGATTATCACTTTAATAATATATATATATATATATATATATATATATACACACACACACACACACGCACTTTTATGATGATAGATGCCCTTTTATGATGGATATATGCACTTTTATGAAGGATAGATGCACTTTTATGATGGATACATGCTCTTTTGTGATGCATTAATTGTTAACGTATGAAAACAAAAACTGACATTAACCAAAATTAATAAATGCACAAACTATTGTATCAATTTTAATTTTGTAAAGTAAAGTGTTACCAAAACATCTTAGCACGACCTTCCATAAAGAATATAATGATGGTTTAAGACAGGTGTTTAATGGTGATTTATGTCAGTTAATGTGTCAGATGGGGGTTCTGGAAGAAAAGCTGTTAAAGGAGTTTCCTGAGGATGCCAGAGTCATTGTGTGTCGTTTCCCTTTCCCTCACCGGCCTCACGTCTGCACCGCGAGATCAGGACTGAACCAGGACTGGGCTTATGATGTACACACTGCTGGAGAATCATCCAGAACAGCTGCACAACACTGACATGATGTGACAAATAAGCCACGTGCAGCTCAGGATTCAGGACACAGTCTTATGAAAAACAAGTCATTCCCAAACTGAGCTGAAGTATTGGATGTTTGACATTAAATAAATTGTTGCAATGTTTTCAGTCATTGCTTGCCTTTTATTGGACAAACACTGTCTAAATACTTCTATTTTTTATAATATACTTATTATCAGCTTAATAATTTGAGTAAAAAGTAATATTTAAATATATATTTAAATATTACTTTTTACTCAAATTATCAAATTATTATTATATACTCACATAAAGGCTTATTAAGAACACCTGTTCAATTTCTCATTAATGCAATTCTCTAATCAACCAATCACATGGCAGTGTCTTCAATGCATTTAGGGGTGTGGTCCTGGTCAAGACAATCTCCTGAACTCCAAACTGAATGTCAGAATGGGAAAGAAAGGGGATTTAAGCAATTTTGAGCGTGGCATGGTTGTTGAGTATTTCACAATCTGCTCAGTTACTGGGATTTTCACGCACAACCATTTCTAGGGTTTACAAAGAATGGTGTGAAAAGGGAAACACATCCAGTATGGGGCAGTCCTGTGGGACAAAATGCCTTGTTGATGCGAGAGGTCAGAGGTGAATGGGCCGACTGATTCAAGCTGATAGAAGAGCAACTTTGACTGAAATAACCACTCGTTACAACCGAGGTATGCAGCAAAGCCACAACACACACAACCTTGAGGCGGATGGGCTACAACAGCAGAAGACCCCACCGGGTACCACTCATCTCCACTACAAATAGGAAAAAGAGGCCACAATCTGCAAGAGCTCACCAAAACTGGACAGTTGAAGACTGGAAACATGTTGTCTGGATTTCTGTTGAGACATTCAGATGGTATAGTCAGAATTTGGCGTAAACAGAATGAGAACATGGATCATCATGCCTTGTTCCCACTGTGCAGGCTGGTGGTGGTGGTGTAATGGTGTGGGGGATGTTTTCTTGGCACACTTTAGTGCCAATTGGGCATCGTTTAAATGCCTGAGCATTGTTTTTGACCATGTCCATCCCTTTATGTCCACCATGTCCCCATCCTCTGATGGCTTCTTCCAGCAGGATAATGCACCATGTCACAAAGCTCGAATCATTTCAAATTGGTTTCTTGAACATGTCAATGAGTTGACTGTACTAAAATGGCCGCCACAGTCACCAGATCTCAACCCAATAGATCATCTTTGGGATGTGGTGGAACGGGAGCTTCGTGCCCTGGATGTGCATCCCACAAATCTCCATCAACTGCAAGATGCTATCCTATCAATATGGGCCAACATTTCTATATTCTTTATATTATCTTGCCTTCAGGATAGTTATTATTGATGGTTATTGGTTATTATATCATTACATAAACATCTCTGTGTGTTTGGTAATCTCCCTCACAGTCGCCCTGGACACTTTCATCAGACAGACAAGCCATCATGATCACGTTATCTCTATATTACCCTCAATTCCCAGGGAGAGCAAGAACTGATAAGAATGTAATGTGTATTGAAATGCAATGTAACTCGCTTTGGGTAAAAGCATCTGCCAAATGCATAAATCAAATGTAAATGTCTATTGAGCAACGTTAATGTTGGTGGTGCATGGCAAAGTAAAGCTTAAAGTCTCCCTCGATCATTGTAATATCTATCATCTTTGACCACCAAAATTACATATTTAAGCATTTTTCCCATGCCCTAAAATAGCTTAATTGTAACTCGACACCCTTAACTCATTTTCATAGATGAGTTAAACAAGTCACTTAAAAAGGCAGGATCTATTGTTTACATTAGACAACAGGCATATGCTTTCAATTTTACACAGTTTTGTGTTACATAAAGCAGTCTGCGCTGTGAATATTCAATGTTTGCATGCAATAGATATAAATGTTTACCTGTTGAATTGAAGTATAAATAAGTGAGTTCAGCTTGTAAACACTTTATATTGAAAAGCAGCATCAACACACTCCCACTCTCTCTGAAGACCTTCAAAAAACAAGCAATGTTTTGTAATGTTACCCTGAGAACTGATGGCTGTCTTCTTGAATAAAGTAGAGCAGTGTTGTTCACTTCATCTCTCAAGAAGATGAGCTGTTATGAAGACGAATATGGTTGCATTAGCGGTGCCACTTGATATATACAAAACAATTATGAGTAGTATGCCTATCATATAAAGCCATAATTTATTTGTATTATTTTATTTTATACCATCTTACATAAATATCTTTTTTTAATCTATCTGCAATTGAGTTTTTATTTTAGTAACCAGGTAAAATTATGATTTTTACTAAGAATTGTATCTCTAACATGTGAAATGGTAAAAAAAAAAAATCACCATAGATAGATGACAAATCTATGGTGACATTTAACTGATGAAAATACAGTTACACAATGAAGAGTTATAGTAATCAAGAATTCATATTTTTGCGATTGATGACGTCATTGTTGATATCAAGAATTTTCAATTTAACTAGTGAATTGAGTTTCTGATATCCAGAATTCATATCCTGCAGTGCATAAGTAAAAACGGTTTGACACACAGTAGTTGTGTGTTTGTGTGTGTGTGTGTCAGTATGAGTCATACATGCACCACACGTCTAAATACGTAGTAAAACTAGTGTAAAGCATCACATGGTGGCGCTAGAGATCTTTACTCTAACCCATAGTCTCTAAAACATGTCCATGCATGTCCTGCTCAAACTAAATATAATAACATACAGAATACATGGGCAGAGTGAATGTAATAGTTAATAGTTTTAGTGTTGTAATAGTTAAGTAAATAAAATAGCCTACATACATTTTTTTTTTTACATAAAGGATACACAGAAAATCGAAAAATAAAAAATGCGTGTTTCACTACTTATACTTATAATAATAATAATAAATTAAAATTCTAGATTTAGTTCAATTATATTTTACATTTTATTTCAATTTAAAGTTATAGCCTACATTTAATTTAAATTAAATAAAAGTTAATATCGTGATTTAATCGCGGGAATAAAACATTCCATCTTTGAGACGCTCGTCTTCATTCCAGCGCTCAGTGAACGCGCGTGACGCGCCAGTGAAATAAAATAAGAGGGCGGAGCCTCCGCGCGCGCGTGTATAAGACTGAAGCTCTGTGATGATTTCTCCCAGTCGGACTCGAGCATGGACATACTCAGGACTATAACACACCACCATCATCATCATCACCACCATCAGCCTGTGAACAACGGCAAGATGTGTGAACACACACACCACAGACCCACTGAGAGCAGACGAGGGAAAGCAGAGGATAATAATAATGCTCATGCCACGCAAGAAATGTCACGCATCATCACGGATTCAACCACTGGGAAATGTTACTGTAGAGGAAAAGTTTTGGGCAAGGTAAATATTTTACATTTGACTTATGAAAAAGTAATGGAGCACCATGTAGCCTAAATATCATAGTACAAAAAAACATGGTTTCAGTACTATGATATATATTAAATATTTAAAAGTGCATTAGCTATTTTATTTTGGTTTTTGTTTAATTTTATGAATTGGTAATGCATAAGAGTAAATAAGAGATTTGAATATACAATTGAATATACTGACATGTAATGCTGTTATAATGCATCCCCTCTCTCTCTCTCTCTGTGTGTGTGTGTGTGTGTGTGTGTGTGTGTGTTTCAGGGCGGTTTTGCCAAATGCTATGAATTTACAGATCTAAGCTCTGGGAAAATGTATGCAGCCAAAATCATTCCACACACACGCGTCTCCAAACCTCACCAAAGGGAAAAGGTAACTTGCTGTCCTGTCGTCACGTATTTGCTGCTGGCCGCATTGCTTGAATCGCTAATTAAGTTTTTGCAACCGTTTGATTGACAGATCGACCGAGAAATCGAATTGCACAGAGCCCTGCATCACAAACACATCGTTCACTTCTACCACCACTTCGAGGACAAAGATAACATCTACATCCTGCTTGAATACTGCAGCAGACGGGTGAGTGCTATTGACGTCTCGCTTTAATCATAGGTCTTGCAGGAAATATTGTTGCCCTGACGTATTGTGGTGTTCTTCAGTCCCTAGCACATATTCTCAAGGCCCGAAAGGTGCTTACAGAACCAGAGGTTCGGTACTACCTGAGACAGATCGTCTCGGGGTTAAAGTATCTCCACGAGCAAGAAATTCTGCACAGAGACCTTAAACTAGGTGAGCACCTAGAGCGTTCGATCCTTCCCTAAACAATACAGAAATCCCATTCGTAACCTGATTCTGTTGCTTTTCCCAGGCAACTTTTTCATCAATGAATCAATGGAGCTCAAGGTCGGAGACTTCGGTCTGGCTGCGAAGCTCGAGCCGGTTGAGAACCGTAGGAGAACAATATGCGGGACGCCAAACTACCTGTCGCCTGAAGTCCTCAACAAGCAAGGGCACGGCTGTGAATCTGACGTCTGGGCTCTCGGCTGTGTGATGTGAGTACTAAAGCGGTGCTATGTTTCACTTTAGACGAGCCTCGCAACTGAAAGGGCCTCCGTTTGGCCTCGAAAAAGAGATACGATTGGAAATTAATTGGGGCTTGGGGCAAAAATGCCACCAAAATTAATAAAAATGACCCCAAAATTCAAGATATTGGGCATAAAAAGTCACTGTATGAGTTTTAATATTCAAAATAGCCACCAAAAATGCCACTAAAATTGAAGGGGCCTCCGTTTGCTCTCGAAAAAGAGATACGATTGGAAATTAATTGGGGGTTAGGGGCAAAAATGCCACCAAAATTAATAAAAATGGCCCCAAAACTCAAGATATGCAGCATAAAAAGTCACTGTATGAGTTGTATTAATATTTAAAATAGCCACCAAAAATGCCACTAAAATTAATAAAAACTGGCCCCAAAATTTAAGATATGCAGCATAAAAAGTCACTGTATGAGTTGTTTTAATATTTAAAATAGCCTCCAAAAATGCCACTAAAATTGAAGGGGCCTCCGTTTGCCCTCGAAAAAGAGATACGATTGGAAATTAACTGGAGGTTAGGGGCAAAAATGCCACCAAAAATTAAAAAAAAATGCCCAAAACTCAAGATATGAGCATAAAAAGTCACTGGATGAGTTGTTTTAATATTTAAAATAGCCACCAAAAATGCCACTAAAATTGAAGGGGCCCCCGTTTGCCCTCGAAAAAGAGATACGATTGGAAATTAACTGGGGGTTAGGGGCAAAAATGCCACCAAAATGAATAAAAATGGCCCCAAAACTCAAGATATGGAGCAAAAAAGTCACTGAATGAGTTGTTTTAATATTCAAAATAGCCACCAAAAATGCCACTAAAATTGATAAAAAATGCCCCCAAAATTCAAGATATGGGGCAAAAACTGTCGCTGTATGTGATGTTTAGTTACTGAATGAATCTGCGTTTAATGAGCGATTCAACGACTCACTAATAAAGACATTCACTTTTTTTCATCCAGTTGTTTTGAATGAATGATTTGACTCAATGACACGCTCATTAAGACAATTTGCTGCAACCTACTAAGAAAATCAAGTAATTCCAGTTGGCTTTTTTTATTTATCTGGCTCTGAATGGCAAAATCCACCTCTAACTCTTGTAAATGTCATGGAGATGTTTATTTATGATGGATCATTTGTGTCCCAACAGGTACACCATGCTTTTGGGAAGACCTCCTTTTGAAACCACAAACCTTAAAGAAACGTACCGGTGCATTCGTGAAGCGCGATACTCCATGCCGTCGTCTTTGTCGCCCCAAGCCAAGCATCTCATCAGCAATATGCTGGCCAAAAACCCTGTGGAAAGGCCACAACTCGACGATATTCTACGCCACGACTTTTTCTGCCAGGTGTGTGTCCGTTTGTGCGAGCGAAACATGTCAGCGGTGAAGTATTCAGTGGTTTGAGCGTGTTTTTTCCCCTCTTATATCAGGGTTTCACACCAGACAGACTGTCTTCGAGCTGCTGCCACGCGGCCCCAGATCTCCACCACACCAGTCCTGCCAAGAGCTTCTTCAAGAAAGCTGCTGCCGCCCTGTTCGGTGGGAAGAAGGACAAAGCCAAGTACTTGGAGACTCACAGTAAGTGCTTGTGTACAGTAAACCAACCAGTCACGACGAGTCATACGGGTATATTTGTGGCAATAGCCAACAATACATTGTATGGGTCAAAATGATCGATAAAAAAATCAATTGGATATTAAGTAAAGATCACGTTCAAGGAAAATATTTTTGTGAGTGAATGCAGCACAATCGCGAACATAAATGGACAAATTTAAAGGCGATTTTCTCAATGTTTAGATTTTTTTTTTTTGCACCCTCAGATTTTTAAATGTTTTCACATTTAGTTCTCGGCCAAATATTGTCATAGCCTAACAAAGCATACATCGATGCAAAGCTTATTTATCAGCTCAATGTACCCTTGTGACTGGTTTTGTGGTCCAGGATTATCCGAATGACATCGTTAGACTGATGCACGTCTTGCTTCTTGCAGATAAACCAACCAAGGAAGAGGATGACATAAACAAACTATGCCTTGACCTCCGGAAAGCTTCACTCAGCCCCCAACCCTGCAGAAAACCCCTTGAGGTGAGCTCCTGAGCTCCTTCGTCCTCGTCCTTCTCTTAAATGTGCAGAAAGTTTAAGATTGTAACCTAACCTCATGCACATTCCTGTCCTATATTTCCCACAGGACACTAAGCCCCCGATCACAACTGCTGGAAGAGCAGCTGTTCCCGCAGTGAAGGACACCGGCAGCAAGCAGCACATTAGAGACAGCATTCGGATGATCGTGCGGGGAACGCTGGGGAGCTGCAGTAGCAGCAGCGAATGTAAGAGACTTGCACATTTTTATCAACGCGAGGATGTTAATGGATGTGTCCGTGCGATATCTAATGTGTTTTGTGTTCACAGGTCTTGAGGACAGCACAATGGGTAGCGTTGTGGACTCTGTTGCACGAGTATTGCGCGGCTGTCTGGAGAACATGCCGGAAGGTGCGTATCTGACATGATCCGATTTACAAATGCAAAGTCACTTTTAATAACCCATTCTTAATAAAAAAGTAAAATGCATTTAAAAATAAAATGTATTGTAAGATTAAAAAAGCACCAAAAGGGGTAAAAAATAAATAAATAAATAAATATATATATATATATATATATATATATAAAGAACAATTAAAATATATATATATATATATATATATATATATATATATAATTTTTTTTACCCCTTTTGGTGCTTTTTATTCATTAAAATCTGTTTTGTTTAGATTTTTCAAGTTAATAATAGTATAAGGCACATTAATACAAATATTAATAATATTTTTGTTAATAATATAGTTAAAAAATCTAAAAATAAAACATATTTATAAATCATATTGTAAGATAAAAATAAAAAGCATTAAAAGAATTTTGAACATTTTAAAAAGTTTAAATTCTGAAAATAAAAAATTATTTAATTTTTTTTTTCCATGTCAGTTATACATGTTTTTTTTAAATAGTAAACTGAATAAAATGCATTAAAAATCTGAAAATAAAATATTTATAGAACATTGAAAAATACAGAGGGTTTTGTTAAAATTATAAATAAAAATAAAAAGCATTAAAAATAATTTTTGAACATTTTTAAAAGTTTAAAATCTGAAAAAAATAATATAAAATTAAAATCGTTTTTTTTTAATTCTATGTCAAAGTTATACCTTTCACTTTTAATAATGCATTTTTAATCTCTTGTTTACAGCTAATAACATTCCCAAAGAGAGCATGAACGGCAGCTTCCAGTGGGTGACGAAGTGGGTGGACTATTCCAACAAGTACGGCTTCGGCTACCAGTTGTCGGATCACACAGTTGGCGTCCTCTTCAACAACGGCACTCACATGAGCCTTCTGTCGGACAAAAAGTACGTTGCCCATCTCAAGTGTCTTTGTAGCTCTTTTTTCTGATAAAGATCCCGAAGACTAACGTGTCTTTAAACCTTCAGGACGGTGCATTACTATGCAGAGCTGGGGCAGTGTTCGGTCTTCCCCACTACTGAAGCCCCAGAGCAGTTTGTCGGTCAGGTCACCATCTTAAAATACTTCGCCCACTACATGGAGGAGAATTTGATGGATGTAAGTGTCCTCGCTTGGTGGAAACGTGTTGCAATGGCAGTCTATCAATAATTCACAGATTTTCTGATTATAACCCACTGCTCTTCAACAGGGAGGTGATTTACCCAACGTAACGGATGCGGGCAAACCCAGACTGTACCTTCTTCAGTGGCTCAAATCTGATCGAGCACTCATGATGCTCTTCAACGATGGCACTTTCCAGGTAAAACTTCATATTTGCTCTGCTAGAACCAAAGAACATCTACATATTAGGGGTGTAACGATACCCTCATGTCACGATTCGATGCATATTATTACGATACTCCAAGACATATAGTAAAAGGTTAACTTAAAATGCATTTGATATTGCATTGTGTGTGTAAATGAAATGGTGACAACAGAATAAAGATATTCATGATCCTGAAGCTGAAAACAGAATTATTTTAGACAAATATTCTTGCACTCTTTCACTGACTAGATATATTAAAAAAATCAGCCACTTTTTACTGGTAACATCATCATTTGGCATTATGAGGACCCCTATTGAATTATTATACATTATATTTAACATTAAAGTAGTTTAATGTAGTACTGACACTAAAACTCTGAAAACGTGATTTTTTTTTTTCTCGCACAGAAATTTTATTTTGGGTGAACTATACACAATATATATTCTCACTATCCAGTATTGCGATATATTGTGACACCCCTACTTCATAATGTTGACTTGATTGCTAAACTCATGCTATTCCCACTGGTCAACTTTCCCTAATTACATATTTAAATGTTTTTCCGTGAAAAAAATCTTCATGCCTTTAAAATATCTTGAATGTAACTCGACACCCTAGCCTAATTTGGTATTCGCGGTTCTATGAATATGCAAATGAGCCCCGCCTCCACTCACTCAAAGATCCACTGGCTGACGATCACACGTTGTTCTGATTGGTTACAAGGTCGTTTGTGACGTCAGAAACACCAGCGATTTCAAAGTGTGTTTTTGAGACTGTTTTTGGTTCACTGCAGTTTTAAGGAGGAAATACTCAGCAATGCTGTTCACTTATGAATTTACACATGGTTTGACTTAATATTCATGGTTCTGAAGCAGAAAACAGAATTATTTTACACAAATATTCTTGCAATCTTTCACTGACTAGATATATTTAAAAAAATATCGGACACTTTTTACTGGTAACATCAACATTTGGGCGTATCAGGACCCCTATTGCATTATTGTACATTATATATTGCAGTACTGACACTAAAACTCTAAAAACGTGATTTTTTTTTTCCTTTTATTTTGGGTGAACTATTCACGATACATATTTTCACGATCCACATTGTTGCAGATTTGTATTGCGATATATAATGTTGACTTGATTGCTAAACTCATGCTATTCCCACAGGTCAACTTCTACCACGATCACACCAAGATCATCCTGTGCAATCAGAGTGAAGAATACCTCTTGACGTACATCAACGAGGACCGTGTTTCCACCACGCTGCGTCTCAGCACGCTCCTCGTGTCGGGATGCTCACCGGACCTTCGCACCCGCATGGACTACGCACTTGACATGCTGTTGCAGAGATGCAACTGAACCGCACGAGCGCACCGAGACTGGGATACTTCGAAAAGACGAGAACGTGGACTACTTACGACTGGACGGGAGAGTGTTGAAGATGGGAGGAGATGAAATGGATTATGAGTTTTACAAAAGGACTGAACTGAGCTGGGCTGGAACCAGAGACGATGATAGTGTTTTAAATGCAGAAATCTTGCTTTGTTGAAGCCAAACGGAGATATTAACTCTTTCCCCGCCCGAATCACATTCACGAGATTTTCACGGCCTCCAGAATATTTTGTTGTGCGAATAAACATTCAATATATTGAAAGAAAGAAAGAACAGAGCCTCGGCTTTTAAAGTTTAAACTAACGAAAATATATCCACACTTGAATGTGGATAAGAAACAAAAAGCGGAGAAAATCTCGTTTAAAGACTTTAATCGTAGATCGAGTCCATCTTCACAGTCGTTCGCTCTTCATGGGTTCGACATTTCATTCGATAACAATATTCAGTTTTTGTTTGATCACGTAAATGATCATATTCTTCGTTTGTTTTTGGATTTGGAGATTTCAGAAGTTGCGCAACAGCGCCCCCTACCAAACCCAGATTCCCGGGGAAACCTTGTCAATGGCGGGGAAAGAGTTAAAGTTGAGGAAAGAAGGCTTTAGAAAGGCAGGGTGGTTGGATGTAGCTCTCTTGAGAGCAGATTTCGTTTAACTGTGAAAACATTCCCGCTTAAGGACACGGGCTACAGAGTGAAATGATCCCATGCTGTAGTTCAACATTTCACTGTGCGCACGCTCTGCAACGCCATGGACGTAACTTATTATCAGACAGAACCCACTATTTATTTATTTAATAAAGATGATCTTAGTGTTCATGAGTGATGTTTCAAGAGCACACGTTATTTAATTGTTCAGTGTAATAATCGTGTCCTTTTGCGTCAATCTCCCGGGGCATCATGGGAGTTGAGACAAACTCATTATGCAAGGCCGGTCGCAAAACCGCAATCTGCGTTTGTCTTGTCTTGATGTTTGTATAAAGATTAAAGATGAATAATATTGTGGAGGTGTTGTATTTTCTTTCTTTTTTGAAGCGTAATTACCCCCATTGTCCATGCGTCTATTATGTAAACCTCCAGGGGCCGATGAAGCCACTTCAAAAACACACATCATGCTTATAAAAGGGAAGAAAACATGAACATTTCACCACCTACTTACAATTCCCTTTGCTATGTTGTCAAGCCTTTCATGCACTACAGTAAAACTTGATCTCGTCGATGGATTGCTTTACTTTATTATTTGCTTCCTGCTTTTCTGCAACAAGAACAGACCTGTGACCCATTTATGGAAATATTAAAGCTTTACACATTTACTGTGACAAATACCAACACTTTTCATCATGCACTAATTAACTCAGTTATTATAATTAGTCATAATTTAAAGATAACTAGGGTGCACGGATAAATAGCTTGTATAAGGTTTCCAGAATGAATTTAAACCAAATGCATCTGAATACCTGCAGACACAGTTAATTAAATTAAATTAAAAATGAAAGTGCCATGCTCGCTTCTCTGCCTTTTAACCCATCCAAGTTAGTGCGCACACATTAGGAGCAGTGAGTAGTGAACACACACACACACACAAACACCTGGAGAAGTTGGCAGCCATTTTTGCTGTGGCGCCCGGGGAGCGATTGGGGTTTAGATGCCTTGCTCAGTATTGAGGTGTTTCCGACCGATATTGAGATTCAAATCTGCAGCCTGACTCTCTAACCATTAGGCCACGTTTGCCCCGGACCAGCTTTTTTATATACTTTTGTCAGTCATATTTAACACATTTAAAAACAGCAGCTTTTGGCCAAAATGCTGTAAACAAGTATCCATAAAACATAAAACCACAAATAAACAATGTACAAAGCAATGCAACACCACTACAGCAACGATTTAAAATCAGTGTATGAAGGTGCAGGGTTTATATAAGATGGCCGATTGTTCGCAAAGTTGTGGAGCGGCCACGGAAAAGGCCCGATCTCCTCGTCACTTTTGTTCTTTAATAGGCCAGGAGTTGCACTAAATCCATAGGCGTCATTTATGGGGGGACGGGTGGGTGGGACATGTCCCCACCACTTTTTGCCAGGGTTGATTTTGTCCCCACCACTTTTGAAACATCTCGCGGCACAGATGTACCAATACAAATAAAACATCCCGTTAATAGCATTCGTTTCATTTGTTTGTTAAATAACAGGCGATCTAGCACTGAAACGCGCGGAAACGCGCTTCAATCCGTTGCGGAGATTCCTTCCGGTGAAAAAAAAAAAAAAAAAAAAAAAATTCTCACAAACGTGTCCCTGTTTCTCTTGGTTCTAATTCCGCTCTCGTATATTTTTTTTCCCTCATCAAAACATATACAACCACTGATAAACATTATATCAATTCAACCACTGATAAACATTATATCAATTCAAGCACTTATTGGTTTTGATGAGGGGAAAATAAAACTATACGAGTGCGGATTAGAACCCCGAACCTCCCGAGTCTCGACACGCTAGGCAAAAATTCTACAACTGGACCATCAGTGCACATAAGCAAGAAAGGGTATACTCTATACTCACTATACTAACAACATATTAGTTCGAACAATTACACCCAAAGTACCAACACATTTTTGGTCGGACATCACATCTTTGTGCTCATTTTTATTTATGTACATCAGCATCGTCTTTCAAAACATGACCTACTCGAAAGAGAAAAAAAGAATGAATGCATCATATTGTACCTAGCACTTTTGAAAATGGCTTTCCGAGTACGTCTCTGTCCCCAGCACATTTCAAACCAAACTGACGCCCATGAACCCATTCCTTAAAAATAGTATGGTGGAAAGCCATTTTTGCGTCCCAATTCTTTGCATCATTTTAGGGACCGGCAGCATCAGTCGCCATTTCCCTTTCATTGAATCTTTTTACTGCACAGCAAAACTAAACCGTGACTGAAGCTGTCATTCTTTTGCTTCAATGCATGTCATTGGTTTTGAAACAACTTGAGCCTAGTAAATAATAATGCAATAATTTTTGGATGGACTTGCAATCCCTTTGAATACCATGAACATGGTGTATGGTATACAAATTACAAAGTAGTCAGTAATGTTATCCCTTTTAAACTCATCTTTCATCACCAAAATTACATATTTAAATGTTTTTCCTTAAAGGGTTATGCTGCGTTCATGTGCTATGGTAATCATGGTAAATACCAAAAGCCGACGTGAAAAATGCACATGAACACCCCCTCATGTGGTATTTTCCACTGGGCAACTCGTAGAATATTTTTTTTATTGGATGAGTTGCCGGGATGAGATAACCTTTGAACTTTTCAAAATGGCGGAGAGCACCGCAAGAGTTGTGAATGGTAAAAATATATACTATTCATGATCTAGAAAATATATAGCATATTATTTACCTTTCGAGTTTTGATAAATCATTTTCTTGCTGTTGCAGATGACTTAAGCAATCTAAAATAGTTTTGGCTAAATAACAGGTCTGGATCTCCATCTTTTTACCACATTACGACAACAAAGCAATTAAAAGCAACACACTGGTAAATACCAGTTCACAAGTGGAAAATATCCCATTTTCCATAGCACGTGAACGCAGCATTAGTTCACCCAAAAATTCTGTCAGTATTTACTCACCCTCAAGTTGTTCCAACGCCGTAAGACCTTCATTCATCTTCAGAACACAAATTAAGTGTTGAGGGATGAAACTTGCTGGCCTCGAAAAGTTATTAAAGACATCGTTAAAATAGTCCAAGTGACTACAGGGGCTCAATCTTAACTTTATCAAACGACGAGAACACTTTTTGTGCGCAAAAAACAAAAATAACGACTTTATTTCAACTATTAATTTATTTATTTCTCTGCCTCGAGTCAGGTTACTAGTTTAATAGCGTAAGCTTCTGTTGTTGTACGTCACACGCATCACACACATGACCAGCGTCGGCCAATAGTGAGCCTACGTGTGACGTAGCTCTACGCTATCACACTACGTTAACTGACTACAGGCCCATAGAGAAAAAAGTGAATAGTTGAAATAAAGTCGTTATTTTTGTTTGTTTTTGCGCACAAAAAGTTTTCTCGTTGCTTGATAAAATTAAGATTGAGCCACTGTAGTCACTTGGATTATTTTAACGATGTCTTTAATAACTTTTCGAGGACGGCAAGTTTCAAATCCTCAAGAAGCCTATGGACTAGTATGCAGGAGCGATCTTAATATCTTAAATATCTTGAACGAAGATGAACGAAGGTCTTACGGGGTTGGAACAACATGAGGGTAAGTAAATACTGACAGAGTTTTAACTAACCCTTTAAACATTAAATAGCCTTAAAATAGCTTGACTGTAACTCGACACCCTCGCCTCATTTAGTATACGTGGTTCTATGAATATGCAAATGAGCCACGCCTCCACTTACTCACTCAGAGATCCACTGGTTGACGATCACACGTTGATCTGATTGGTTACAAGGTGGTTTGTGACCTGTCAGAAACACCAGCGATTTCAAAGCGTGTTTTTGAGACTGTCTTTGGTTCACTGCAGTTTTAAGGAGAAATACTCAGCAATGCTGTCCACTTATGAATTTACACATGGTTTGTCTGAAAGCGTATTAAAAACACCTCATAGACAAATAAACAACATTTAAAGCTTGATTTTCACCACAGGAGGGACTTTAAACATATATCTTGGAATGAGACATTACCATGTCAAGATTCAGTTTTCCTTTTTCATCTTTGTATTGAGCCAGCTGGTTTGTCTCTCTCTTGGCCTTGACGAGGAAAGACTCTAGGAACAGAAATGCATCTGTTGTCCAAGATCAGAATAGGCCCGGCACAGTTGGCCGCCTCTTTCTAGCATCATCTGTCACTTCTGTGAAATCTAGGCCATTTTGTCTTCTCTAAATAAAAGCCAAGTTACTTAATAGGCTGAATTCACAAAATAACACTTTTACAGTTACATAACACATACATCGCCACTGATACGGACTATCTTTTTAGCTTTTGCACAGGCCTTCAGTGCAAATGATCAAATGACTGGATAATAAGATAAAAGTAAAGTCATAATATAATATTAAATAGATAAATACATACAATTAATATTTTAAAATATAATAAAAAATAATAAAAATGTTTATACATTATTTGAATAATATATAATATGCATGACAAATGGACTTATTTTGGCATTTTTAAGACAAAAAAAAATGTACTAGACTATAATGTACTAGACAAAATATATATTGAGTTTGCAAAAAGGATTAAAAAAAAATTAATGCGCAACGGGTTGGCCAGTCTATCTTCCTCAGTCTTACTAAACACAAAGAAATGACCAAAACTGGGTAAATGTGTTGGCCTAAAAACAGTGAGTTTAGCTGGCAAAGTATTAGACAGCATTCTTGTAATGAAAAGGTTGTAATTATCTTAATGAAGCTCCTCTCAAGTGCCGCTGATATAATTAGATCTAATCTACTCTGGAATTGTTTGCAGAATTACATCTTTAGGTGGGGACAAAAGAAGCACAAATGATAGATTACAATTAACGGTTAAGAGCTATTGCTTATGGCATATTTTCCACAATGATAAAGACAATAAATCCAAGACATCATCAAAGTAGTCCATGTGACATCAGTGGGTTAGTTACAATGTTTTGACGCATCGGAAATACATTTTGGTCCGAAACTGCGACTTTATTCGGCTGACGTGTGTCTGGTGCGGCTGAGCTTCGGTTACAGTCTGAGAGAGACGCACACTATACAAAACAATCTTCACAAACATGTCTAATTGCACTTTTTTGCCTAGCCATATTTATTTGAACCCGAATACACAGACGCACCAGACACACGTCAGCCGCGTCTTACGTCACTGAACGCGGATCCACAACAAAACCGGAAGACAATGCAATGCTGAATAAAGTCGCAGTTTTTGTTATTTTTGGACCAAAATGTATTTGATGCTTCAAAACATTGTAACTAACCCACTGATGTCACATGACTACTTTGATGATGTCTTTATTACCTTTCT